TACACTGGGTGAGAAGCTGGCCCATAAATTATAATGGAAATATTGTGGGGATTATAATAACTTCTTCTCTTAAAGCTACACTTTAACGAAGCATGATGCTATTCAAAGCCCATCACCTATCATTCCATGTGATGAGTTCCCACCAGTTATTCTTATATAATTACTGCCATCATCTTATAGCAAAATGTCACACCTGTGCACCGTCTTAACCTCCCTCTCACTGTCCTCTAAATTCACCTTCTTTCTATAATGCAAAGAGAGAAATGATATGTGATAATGGCAGGAGGCAAGCTGCAGTCACTATACCTGACTGGCTAAGAACTGTGGACACTGTATTATGTCTGTTATCTTCCCACCCTTGTCTACTGGCTGCTCCATTAGTATGTCTAGTCTTTTGGAGCAGGATCTGTTTAGGATAGAAACCTTTGGATAGCATCAAGCACAATGGGACTCTGTTCTGGCTGAGATCTCTAGGTGCTTTCTCACTATAAAAAGTAAATCATAATAATCAAAGGACATAATCAAATAAAAATTGTTATTGCAAGTTCTTCATTGAAAGTATGTATTTAAATGTTAAGAGCAACCCTTTTGACCATCAGATCTTTCACAAATAGGGTGCAGGTAAGACACTGTTTTATAAGAAAACCAGAACTGTCATAACTCAAACTTTGTAGAAGGGTTGGAGATGAGGCATCTTAGTTAATTATCAGCCATTCACTTTGTTGGACGCTGCATTGAAGTACTGGCTTAGAGGTTAAAAGTGGAGGTGATTTATTGGACTCAGCCAAGTCTCCACTTGGTGCTTGTTTCTTCAGAACCACCACATTCTGGGCACTTCTGCAAATGCTGTTAATGCTTTGAGGGCTTACTGCACAGTAAAATACTGCACAGTAAGCCTTCCCTGGGAGCATATCTACACGTGCTCCCCGTTGGGAGCTTCCAACAGGAGCAGCCCAGGTACAGGGCTGTTCCTACCCTGCTCTGCCCCCTGCAGCAGCCAGGGGGAGCTCCAGGCTCTCCTGGAGTGCTTAGCTCAGGGTCTGGCAGGGAGCACCCGGGTGGTCCGGATGCACATGGGGCCAGGGAAGCTCTGCTGGCTGCAGCAGCAGCTGTCTCATGGCATGGATAGCCCCGCCCCTTGACAGGGGCCCCGCCCCTTGGTCGCTATCTTGGGACCTGAAGTCCTGCCCCTAACCTCTGACCTTTGCCACTGGAAGTCCCTCCCCTTGCCCCTGGAAGTACTCCTTTGGAGAAGAAGGTTTGCCATCTTAGGCGGAAAAAAACACATTATATACTAAAAATCAAGCACCCATAATAATATATTTTAATTTAATTTAAACATATATTTTTGTTCTGATTTGTGTGCGTTTGTGCTGTATATGTAGAAGTGATTGCATAATAACTCAAAATGCAGTCTTACTCTTCTATATTGCGTGGGGTGTGCAGGGGTATTGGGGAGGTATGGCTGCTGGGCATGGGGTTTGTGGGGAGCTGTGGGTGGGTGGGTATGGGGGTTTCTGGGGATATGTGGATGTGTGTGTGTCGGTGAGTATGGATGTGGGTATGGGAGCCATGTAGTGCAGAGCAGCCAGCCTACCACTGATACAGTACTCAACTTATAGGAAGGCAGTGTAAAACAATAAATGCCTGTCTGAACCACGTATGTCTACTTGTGCTCTGTAGTAATGACTTATCTTTGTTCCCTTCAGTAGTGTAACTAAGGCAGGGATCAGTGGGAAGCCAACCGCAGGCGACAATTTAAAAGGGGTACAGGATTGATGGTGGCAGCCATCTCCAATTCAGCCACCACTGCTGTCAGCCTCCATAGAAACGGCTTGATACACATCTGGATCTCCTGACTTTAAGTGCAGGTTAACTGAAGGATTACAATGTATCTGCTACTAAGTTGTAACTAAGACTTTGTCTACCCTAGGATTCCAGCTATCAGTGTAGCTGCATTACTAGACTGATAGTGTATACCTGTTTTGTATCAGTGGGGCTATATAAAGGGGTAGAGTGGTGCAAATTATCCTGCACTAATGAAAGTTATGACTAAGCAAGGGTGGGCAGGCAGAAAAGTGGGGAAAGCGGCAGTCAGGGGGGTGGGGGGTGGAGTGGAAGCGAGCGAGCGTGCGGGAGCACGGGGCCTGCACCAATGTCCCATGGCCGGAGGGGCCCAGAGTGGGGCAATAGGAGTGTGGGGCATGGGCTCGCAGGGGTCTACGGAGCTGGGCTGTGCCAGCAGGGAAAAGGGGGAGCTGGCCTGGCTCCATAGAGCCCCTGCTAGCTGGGACCCCGCGCTCCTGCCGCCCTGCTCTGGGCCCTGCTGGCGCTGGCCCTAGGACACTGGCGTGGGCCCTGTGCTCCCACCCAGCTGCCGCTGGCTCCCACTTGCACGCTCACTCCCAGTCCTCCCTGCCCCAGCCCCACGGTACAGGCGGGGACGAGCACGCAGCCCCAGCCCCACACAGCCTGCGCTCACCTGTCTGAGCTGAGCAGTAGTAGCAGGGAACAAACTGCTGCTCAGCGTCGGTGAAAAGTGGCTCCCCCACTCCCCGTGGCTGGCACTTCCTGGGGCAGCCTACCCTGCAGGCTGTGCGGGGCTGTCCTGTGTCGTCACCGCATCACCACCGCCCCATGGGGCAGCAGTGGTAATAGAGAGCAGGCACAGGCAGCCCCATGTGGGCTCTGAGTGGCTGCAGCAGGGGCACTGCCAGCAGAAGGGGGAGGGGCCACTTTTCGCCCATGCCGAGCAGCAGTTTGTTCCCCGCTGCCACTGCTCAGCCTGGGTCCCATGATGGCTCCGGTCTCACCTGTCAGGGTTAAGCGGCAGCAGCAGCTGGGCAGAAACTGCTGCTTGGCGCGGAGGAAAGCGGTTCTCCTGCTGTGCACACGTCTCTGCCTGTACCGTGGGGCTAGGGCAGGGGGGACTGGGAGTGAGCGGGCCAGTGGCAGCCGGGCAGGAGCGTGGGGCCTGCGCTGGTATCCTGGGGCCAGTGCCAACGAGGCCTAGAGCAGGGCGGCAGGAGCGCAGGGTCCTGGCCAGCAGGGGCCTAATGCCTTTTATCAAGTATGTTGCCATCCTTTTAAATATAACTCAGTGGGTATGTTTACATGAGATGCCGACTGTGCAGTAGCCAAAAAATACTGTGCAGTAGCATGTCGCAGCATGGACAGTGCTAATATGCTACTGCACAGTATTAGGCTACTGCACAGTAGCATCGTCTAAAAGACATTTGCTGGCGCTACTGTACAGTAAATCCAGTTACTGCACATTTATTTAGTACTTGCTAATACAGAATAGCATCTCATGTAGACGTGCCACATGAAAATCAATGTTAATAGTAGCTAGGCACAATGTAAACCTTTACAATGCATTCTGCCCCTGCAGATTTGCAAATAGAAAGTGATATTAGAATTGAGATGGAAGCAGTTTGACGAGTAGTGGTGGCCCCTACTCTTCCGCAGGTACAGTTGATGCACCATCAAGTCTCTGTTTGTCAGCAGAATACACAGAACCCACTTGCACTGTCTTTGCCTTTAGGAAAATCTTTTTCCTGCTAATTTTAATTTAACAGTGTATTCAGCAGCAGCAACCTTGCAAATCAGACACATGCTAAACTAAAGAGAGAGGATGATCTTTTGGCTAAGATACTGCCCAGGAACATGGAAAATATGAATGCACTATCTGGCACTCCTGCCAACAGCCTGAGCATCCACAAGCAAGCTAGTTAATCAGATCTGTGCCTGTAAACAAATATGTGCCTTTAATCCTGTCCCTACTTCCCCAGGGTGATGTGAGAATAAATCCTTTAATGTTTCTGAGGTTCTCTGGTACTATGGTTAGGGGATCATGTAAGCAGATATAGAGAATCTCTTTCACATGAGATCATGTCATTGTTACAGAACCTAATACTAAAACGTGTGAGCTTGATGAGATCATACACAAAGGCAGAGGACTTCAGACTATTATTAGAAACCTTGTAATGAAATGGCAGATATACAAAACCAGCAGGATAGATGCACCAGTAATTTCTTACTGGCCATTCAGAGCAGTAGAAAAACAAATCAGCTCCCAGTAAAGGAGTCAATGATACCCACGTGTCTGCCCATTTTAGATCCTTTTAAAGTAGTGAATATCCCTTGCTTCTTCATCCATTTACTACCAACAGCAGTAATATTTAAAAAAAATACTTTGTTCTTCTCCTGCCTAAGTATCTTGTCCCAGCAGCTGGCGGTACAGTAGGAAGGATAGAATTGATGGGTATATGAGATGAGGGGTTGCTTTCTCTCAGAACATAGCAACTCACCATTTCCACAGTGCTTTTTATCTGGGGGTGTCAAGAGTCAGTCAGAAAGAATTGAAACTCCCTGAAATTTTGGATACCATTTTTTTGCAACAAGACAACACTTCCACAAACTACAAGATAAATACCACAGTAAACATGTATTAAAGCCAGAGTGCTTGTATGTGTCAGTGATGACCAAGTCCCTTGGCACCGAAATCCTAGGAAAGTACATTGTGCTAACTATACTTGGAAATATAATAAGCTCAGTAATAAGCTTTAGATAGGTGCAGACAGTACAATTTAATCTGAGTGAACGGGCCACATTGCATGTTTCTTTCTGTTTCACATCAATTTGTTCAACATATTTATTATTTCTATCATGTATGGTATGTTCAGAATAGAAACAAGTAATAGTTCAAGTCTGCTAAAGGTTATTAGAGAAATATATATTTTTTTTTTGTAAAAAATATAAGTTTTTGTAAAAGAAATACTAAAAGGGAGCAGTGTCCTTAATTAAAAGCTATCATTATTTAATTGGCTTAGCCAAATTCTGCACTTTGTCCTTGCTTAGTGAAACTGTCTTGAATAACAACTTGATGAGTTCGCCCCTTAATGATATTTAGCATACGTTGATTCAGTGTGCTTCCTCTTCAACCCATTAATTACATCAACCAGTTAATTAATTAGCTCAATTAGCTGTGCCCTTCAAAGGGAAAAACAATGGGATATTTTGAAGGGGCTTTGGTTCTTTAAATTGCTCCCTGTAAATTCCCTGTGTTCCCGAGCCAAGACTACATTGCCCTGATCCTAATTCCCCCTGAAGTTGATGCAAGCTCTCTCATTGAGTTCAAAGGGGAAAGGGATACATCCTCCTCCCTAAACAGAAGAAGAACAATAGTGAAGTTGGTGCAAAGGAAAACCTCACATGTGTGTGCATGTGTGTTTATGTCTAATATACTGTTTCAAACATAAGAAGTTCCATTTGCCTAGCCTTCTTATCCATCCCTACTTCTTGTCTGGATAAGACCTCTCATCATCACCTCCTTCTGTCGGAACATCCACATGCAATACACATGGGCACTCAGTGGTTTTTACCTGCACACAGGTTTTGGAGCCAGTCCAACTCCTGAAGGGTTGCACTCCTGGAAGATGTAGTTACACAGCAGAGACTCAGCGGCTGGGTGGCAGAATGAACTCACTGTTTTCAGTTCCGTCCAGGCGGTGTGGACAAGCAATTCTTGGGTCTTCTCTGGGTCAGCATAGGAGGAGTTGAAGAAAACAAGAGCATCCTTCACCAAGATAGCACTACACACCTCACCTCTGTATGTGCTGCAGTAGCCTGCATCACCCTTGTACAGTCTGCTGGTGAAGGGGAACAGTCACATACAGTAAGTGTACAATCATATTCTAACTGAAATGCAGAAGCAAATAGCTAAAGAGAGGCATGCCTTCATCAACGAGATGGTATTTGAAAAGCTAATACATACTGAACAAGAGGAAGCACAAACACACTCGCTGAAACAATCATGTGCCATCCAGACATGTTACAAAGTGTGACAACACATAGCCACTCTGCATGTAACATGAGTTCAGTGTTAGGAAAACCTCTGTGTTGGGAAGCTGTACCATAAAGGTACCTGACATATGAACCAATCCCAAGCACAACCTAACTCTCAAGATAGATTCTAAACAAGCAGCTCCCAAACTAGGGGTCATAGCTCTAAATGTGGTTCAATGGCACTTAGCAAGTAGGGTCACAAGCAGCAGAAACATTCAATGAGAGCAGTCAGGATTGGGTTGGAAGTGGGGTCATGATCCTGGAAGGAGGGGCACTAAGGAAGGAAATTGGAAACTGCTGTCCTGATCCAATATTTACCCAGGAGCGGAAAAAGCTTATCTGCATTTTCCAATTGCATTTCTGGACTTCAGGGGAGGCCAGAAGTGGAAGGAGCTGTCCTAACACAGAATAGGTATAATAGGAAAAAATAACAATGTATGGTTCCTTATTCTTATTATTTCTAATAACTTTGTTTAAACGCTATTAGATTTCTGACACAGACACTCTGGCTGTGCACCAACCTAGAAATGCGCTCTGCCCATCAGTTCCTTCCCCTCCAAGTAAGTGCCCCAGAAAAGGCAGATCTCATCAATGTGATGGTGCCAGAGGCTATACTACAGCCATGCTTGCTACAGTAATAACGCCAGAAAGGCCGTGTCTTCCTCCTCATATCAAGTTATTGTTTCTGTAGTCCTGAGATTGAAGTCCTCCACACACCCCTGCTAGAGGATGTGCATACACAGGTCAACTGTAATACTAGCTAGTAACATGACTGACCCACAGGGGTAGCTTGGGTGCATGAGCGTCCCTGCATGCCAAAGTCTATTCTCTTTACACTCACACCTCAGCCAGCCATCCCACCAAGAGAGGTCACAAAGCAGAAGGGGTGCAGGCAAATGCACCTGGGAACACCTGATTTGACGATAACCAGAGCATAATCAAAATGTAAAGAGAGCAGGTCAGGCTGCAGCTGTCTTCACTGCTTGTACAGTCAGTTTAACAGAGGTCATGGAGTTCAGTTCACAACATGCTAACTATGTGGAAAGGCCAGTGGAGTTATTTGTAGCTTTGCATTTTATTCCTTCGCCCTCTACAAATAATAACCCCTTGTCAATTTGCTATTTTCATGCCTTGAGAAAACTGGGGCTGTATTACATGCAGGAATAGGCAAGGCAACAGAACAAGCCTTTCCCAACACTCATGTCTATGAGTTTCAGATGCTGCTCCCAGCAATCTAGTTATACTTTCTGGCTGCCTCCTGTTTCTAATTGCACTGCCATGGGGTCAATAGCAAAGGGCTGGTTTTTTGTTTGTTTGTTTGTTTTTGGAATTGGCTGAAAGAAAAGGAAACAATTAATCCTGGTAATGGCATGATGTAAAACATCCTAAATGACAAAGCTGTCAGATAATGGTACAGATTGTCTCAGGAATTTATATTATTTCCTTCAATGGAGGTTTTAAGATGAGGCTGGCCAGGCCTCTGTCAGTCATTGTTTAAGGACAGAAAAACCTGTCTCCATGGAAAGAATTGGACTAGGTAACCCCTGAAGTCCCTTCCAGCACTATGCTTCTATAATAATATTGCTACCATGTCGCTCCACGCATTCTCACTGACATGACCAAGATACCCCTGCCTGTGTTACAGCTACTCCACCCAGCTTGTAAGCCAAATGCGCTCACTGCCTGTAACTTCCTGCTTTTCTGAATAAGATCCAGTGGAGGGCAGGTTTCTAAATCAACACAGTGGTATTAGAGACTATTCTGGAGCCATGCTTATGACAGTAAGAAGGACAGTAGGATCAGCAACTTCTTGGACCACTTCTATATTTTGTCCTCAGTGTTGCTGTTTTTGTGCAGGCAGGAGAGGGACACTCTCTGCATACCCTTCACCAGAGAGCACGGAGGGGTCAATGCAAGTATGGGATTGCATAAGTCTGACCTCCTGGTCTAGAGGCCTAAAGTGAGTCTGTATATATGGTCATCTTGGCTAAGTGCAGACAGTCAAAAAGCCTGAGGCTGAATCGATTCAATCTTCACAGTTTTCTCTAACCGCATAGAGAATGTTTCTCTAAGCCACATAAATGCTCACTTTCAAATCTGGAAGGTAGCCAGATGCCTGCAGTGGCTCAGACCAGAAGCCGGGGGGCACTAGAGTATGCCTCCCAGCCTGCCCACCACTGCTGAGGGCAGCTGAATGCAGCCCAGCACATGCCTCCCACCCCCTCTGCTATCCCCCCAAAGGCCCCTCCAGCCTGGGGCATCAGCCCACGTGGGGGGATCCCTGCACCTTAATGGGGGTGCCCTGCCCTAAGCAGGGTCCCCTGAGCCCTGCCAGAGGGGGAATTCCTCCCTCCTACCCCACAGCATGGTTTGGCGTCAGCTTAAGTCCACTCCCATGGTTCAGCACCAGGTAGACCCCAGGCTGGAGGGACTGTTCTCTCCTCTGCAGCTGTGGGGGTGCAGTTAAGCTGTTGCCAAACCATGCAAAGAAGTGGGAGGAGGGAAATTCCCCTCTGCACCAGCGGCAGGGCTCAGGGGACCCTGCCCAGGGTGGGGGAAATCCCTTGAGACATGGAGATCCAGGCTGGCCTGGGGTTGGAGGGACTACTCCCCTACTTCCCACCTGTATGTCAGTGACTGCTACAGGCCTAGGGTGGGGAAACCCTTGCACACCAGGAATCGGGGAGGGGACCGAGGAGGAGAAGTCTGCTCCCCTTCCCACCCTGCGGGGCTGCAAGGTATAAGCAGAACCAGAGTTGCAGAACAACGGCTTTGCTGCCTCAGCTCTGTGACAGCCCAGGGGCAGAGGCAGCCCTGCTCTGCTGGACCAGACAGCACAGGCCAAGCCTAATCTGCCCACCCTGCAAGCAGGGGTTTGCAGGGAGAATAAGGGGGAGGGGTGCAAAGCATCCTGGGATGCTGGACTGTGAGTTAACCTGATTTGGGAGGGGATCTGGAACAGAAGCTTGATAGACTGGTTAAACCCAAATCAGTGAAATCTGGTACTACAGCCATCCAGACCTATCTTAAACTGGTTTCAGCGATTTTGAAACCAGTTTATGTGCACTGAACTTCTGTTATGGGCTTAAACCAGTTTCTGATCCCATAAATAAGTTTGTGTAATGTCTGTCCCTAGCCATTATGACTAGATTAAGGAAACACCGATTTAGCCATCAAACGTGTTCCTTAGAGAGACTAACTGCACAGCATGAAATAAATTCCAAACAGCAAATCTGAATTCAGTGGTCTGTGAGCAGATACAGGCTGGAACTTGCATGTGTAAAATGTTTGTTATATAATGAACAACAGATGCCACAGTCCAAACTCTGCCGAGAGGAGTTGTATAAAGATGACAAGGACAGAATACCACATTGTTCTGGTTATATTTTCAGTTTAAATTTTAGGAAAAAACAGTTTATTCTCTCAAGATGAGGCAATAACTACAGATAAAGTTCTGAATTATTATGGTGCTTACAAAGCTCCCACAGGAGAATCAAACAATCAATGAAAGGCCCCAAAAGGCTGAATGCACTGCAAATGCTCAACTCAAAACTGCACAGAAAATCCTTCTGACCTGATACTTTTATTTCACACACAAAAATACTTCAAGTATAAAAGTAAATACTGTCTGGGGGTGTTGATTATAGGCTGACCTCATGCATAAACTGAATTAAATTTTTATGTTTTTTGGAGGAAAATGATAGATATATAATCAAGCCAATGGAGTAGATGATCAGTTATCAATAGTTTATCCAATTTTAGGTTTGGCCGTAAAAGAGCCTGTTCCAATAAAATGTGATGGAGGAATTTAAAAAGGAAGAACCAAATTTATCCAGATTTCTTAATTCTTGATACTACACAGGAGAACTCAGATTAGCCATACTATTTATTTTTTATTTCCATTTCAACTGGCATGAATATACCCTAATCACTTTAGTTACACTTCGTATTAAGGATACATTTATGAATAGGGTAGAATAATTTAATATACAATTTATAGATTTTTAATAAATGATACATTAAATTAATAGGACTTTGAAGGCTCTTGGTTGATCATAACAACATCTTAAAACTCATCCATTACACCATCTATTGACCAACTTTAAGCTATCATATGCAGCTTGTAGCAGGGGTACCAGGGAAGGAGGGGATACAGGAGGGGAATGGGGCTCAGCTATGCTCTAGGGCAGTGGTTTTCAAACTGTTTGTTCGCGGACCACTTGAAAATTGCTGAGGGTCTTGGAGGACCACTTAATAAACTTTTTGCTGTTCTACAAATCAAAGCACACAACTCATATTTTTATATCTGTAGTCTTACCTTTCTAATGTGATTGATGTGCCTGTTTTTTTGAGCAAAGTTCTGGGAAGTCGGGTATAATGTTAGTCAGCTTTAGCCCTAGGTCACCTTTCTGCAGACCACCTGAATAGAGCTCACGGACCAGTGGTGGTCTGCAGACCACAGTTTGAGAACTTCTGCCCTAGGGGATGGCCCAGCCAGCAAGTGAAAGAATTACGTTGATAAGGGTGGGGCCCACCTGGGAAAATTAAAAGACAGCATGAAGGAAGAAAGAGTTTGTGGTGCATTAGTTGCTTTCCTGTAGCCTGGTGAATGGGAAAATGCTCCTGCCTGAGGTTAGGAAGGTGGGGCTACTTGGTTGTGGTTTGTGTCGACTGTAGCTGCTTTCTATTTGGGTAGTTTTTGCCTTCACGAGAACAAAACCAGCTGGGAAGGCTGAAAAACTGGCTTAGAATGTAGCAGGATGGCTTCATCCCTGATTAAGAAGTGAAAGCCCAGCAGGGGCATGTTTACAACATTAAGTTTCCATCTACAAGCAATTTGTGAAGGATTAATCTAAAGTGTAACCCCAGTTTCTTTGCATTCATATGTTAGTCAATGCATGAATACCATCTTGCAATTGTTTGCAGCTTGCAAGCCTTGCTGAGACAATCCTGACAAAATAGCTGAGACAGGCAGGAATTACCATTGTGTCTTTCAGGGAAAGTGAGACAGCACCAAGACATCAGGCTAGGGACAGAAGTTGCACACAAACTAATTTAATTAATCAGAAACTGGTTTAAACCTGTAACAGAACAGAAGTTCAGTGCCCAAAGGGCAGTTTCAGAATGGCTGAAACTGGTTTAAGATAAACCTGGTTGAATGTAGTATCAGACTTAACTGATTTAGGTCAAACCAGTTTATGAAACTTCTGTCCCAGATCCCTTCCTGGTTCAAGTTAAATCACAGACCTCCAGTATGCTTTGCAGCCCTGGGCTGTGCTGTCTGCTCCAGGGAGCAGGACTTGCCATGCCCCTCTGCTCCCTTGCTGGAGCAGTGAGGGCTGGCAGATAAGGAGTGCGGGAAAGGCAAGCCTGGGATGTAGTCCAGTCTACAGGGTGGGACTGCCCTCTCTAGGCAAACCCTGGCTGGGGCCTGGGGCCAAGGAGGGGAGTTAAACTCCCCTTCCCCCACTCAAATTTACTGCCAGTTGCAACTGTGGACCACAAATCCCAGAGGCACTTGGAAGCATGAAGAGGAACTGACAAGCAATCCTGCAGAATCCTGCTGCTCTGATTCTGGGCTGCAAATCCCAGAGACCTCAGGGGCAGCAGGAAGAGAAAGTGAACACAGAGCCAGAGAACCCGTGCTATAGTGTCCTCCCAGCTTCTGGCCTGAGCCACTCATTGTAGGCATGTGGCTGCATATCCTGAATCAAAGGTAAATGCATGTCACTTCTGATTCAATTTAATCTGTGCAGTTTAGACTAACCTGCAAAGACTGAATTGATTCAGCCTCAGGCTTTTTGACTGTCTGTACCTAGCCCTTGGGACTTGCCCAGGATCCCTGATGAACCTGGTGGTAAAACCAGGCACAGAATCCAGACTCCCTGGCCCTGGTCCACAACTCAGTATAGACAGATTTGGCTCCAGGTCTCACCAGTAGTGTACCAACAGGGGGGTGGGAGGGGGCCATGGCCCCCAGGCACCAGCCTGGGGGAGATGGGACACCAGCCAGAGAGGCCGAGGCAGCTCCTGCATTTTGTGTGTGGCCCACCATCCTGCCCAGTGCGTTGTGGCTTTCTTTGGCTGTTCCGGCCAGAAATTCTGGCTGCCGCCCCTCCCCCCGCGGCCGGTGTGCAGTGTTGCTAATTCCCCTGCAGAAGTGTCATGGGGTGGGAGGCGGGGCCCCACACCCTGCTCAGATCATCCCTGGGGAGGTGTAAATGCAAGCATTGGCCCCTGGGTGCTGGAGACCCACGGTACGCCACTGGCTCTCATACTAATCCCATAGTTCTGCTTCCAGTCCTCTTTGAAAGCATGACATGCACAACTCTGTGTGTGTGTTTTAAAGCAAACTTTTCAAAACTCAAAATAAAATGGGCTTAGTATAAAGCTGACAAAGGGGCTATGTTACATCTAGTTTTACCCATCTTTTGGTTCACTCACTAATAATCTTGCTTTGAATAACTAAATCTATTGACATAACTTTGTACTTGTCATCATATTTAATAATTTAGTGAATATAGGGCCATTACTGTTCTCCGTGTCTTGCCTTCAAGCCAGTGAAGTCAATAATGTTGCCAGGAGAGCAAAATCTGGCCCTCATTGTTTTGCGAAGTTAACATATTTTAAATACTCTTATGTTACAGCATTTGCTGTATCAGACAAACAAGTTAATCTGCTTAGAGCCCTGTTTCCACTAGCTGTCTGAGTGTCTGTGTAATGAGCACCATGTTATGTATGTGAGAACTCCTTACAGAAGCTGTTCTTCCTACATATTTATGCTTGCTGTCAACAAACTTGCTCCATTAGTTTGGGGACTCTATAATATCCTCACAATTCTTCTTCTTCTTTTTTTAGTTTCTCTCATCTAATAAACATCCCAAGAAAAAATATAACATCATTCTTACCTCCATTCTGCACAGGATCCAGTCACCCCAATGAACCAGGTATGGGAAAAAAAAGGAAAGGCTTGTCAGTGACAGTGTATGTGTTCCTTTTGAATGCAAAATGTACGAGGCATCTGCTAGAAAATGTTCTAAATTTTAGCAAAATATTGCTACTCATTTCTCTTTTTGCTCTGCTGTTTTGAGGGGAGGGAGGTCTCGGTGTGCCTGGAGGTGATTTGTGGAAGGAGAAAGGCAAATTAGGAACAGGATGCCTTTGAAATTTTTTGTGGAAGTGGAACATAGTAGTGGCAGTAGCAGTGGATATGAGAAGTAGGTCTGCAAAATCAATGGTTGAAATCGGGATTTATTCACTATGCGTGATTGTAAGGGATACCAGTATTGCCAGGAGCAGCAGCAATATTAGGGGAGAGCGGGCATGTCTGCACATGCTTTAGTTAACGCACATTAAATCCTATACCTCCATTATGAGGTACTAAGAAAATGTGCATTTGTCTTAATGTGCTAACTAAAGAGCATGGTTTCTGAGTGATGCTTAATGTGCATTAGCCTATTTTAATGCGCAATACCTAAATAGCAAGTGGTTTTAGTGACAATTTAATGCTAATTAAAATGGTCTAATGTACATGAAAGCACACATGTAGATGCGCCCAGTATCTACAACAGTCATATTGGGAGTGGAGTTAATGGACAGAAATAGCAAATAAAGGGATCTTTGCTCCTCCTCTTCCCACTGCATGCTAACATGTACAGCTGATAGAAGGAAGTCATCTATATGTGACAAATGAACTAACACAGGCCACTTGCACCACAGCAAGTCATGACCCATGGTCCAAACTGTGATTCTGGGTCACTCTTGGATCCTTGGCCAAACTGGTTACATACTGTCCCTTATTCAGAGCTTACAGTGAACCTGCCATCAATTCATGTGTCAGCTTGTGAGACACTCTGGGTCTTCATGTCTTTTCTTACTGCATAGGGAAGGATTTTCACATTTTCCTATCCCCAAATAGGGAAGGAATCAATCTCAGCATCATCATTCCTGAGCCTCATTAGGCCAGAATGTCCTAATGTGAAACCTAGATCCAGTGTGGCCTAACCAATGGTATTTAAGGAAAAGGCTGTTTCTCCTTTTCAGCCTAAAAAGCTTGCTTCCTCTTAGCAACTGACATTTTGAGATTTCTGCATGTTCCATATAGGTTTGGGCACGTGGACAAACTACTGTGAGCTAAGATAGGGGGAGAACTTACAGCATATCAGCTGCTTCTTAGTAACTAACTGCCTGTTCACATGATCTCGCCCCCTCCATGGTTGAGAGGTGAGCTCTTTTGTGCTTATGCCAATGACAGACATTGATAATGTAACGTAAAATGAACATGCCCAGATGGATGGGACAAGCGGCTCAGTGACCTGAAGCAGGAAGACAGCTGCAATTTGCAAGCAATGACCATTTGATCTGGAAGCAAAATGAGTTTCCTTTGACCCTCTGTTAACTGTGGTGTTAAAAAACTGACATTTTCATTATTTCACCATTCAAACACAAGAGTAAAAGAGCATGATGCTCTCAGGTTTGCACAATGCTAGGAGTAATAACTGGAGAAGGAAATAAAAGCATAAAATTTTTTGCAAAAATCTTAATAACATTGACAATTTTTCGTGAAAATCTTTTGAAGAAAGGCCAATTTTCAAAGGAAACGCTTACTCTTGGAACAAGCTTATTTAACTCTGTTAAAAAAGCTGCTTAAGGCATATACATTGTCTTTAGAAGAATTCTTCCACATGTCTAGGCTACCAAAGGCACTGGGGCAATAAGTGAGAGATGAATAAAGCAGTAAGTCCAGCTCAGGGGTACAGGGAGTTATATGTCAGTGTTCTCCTATATGATTCACCTTACAAATCTAGATGCAATATTGTGGCATAGCCCTTTTGAGTCTTGTAAGATGGCACAAAGGAGCTAGAGGAGAGGTATAGTATCTCTACCCAGGAAGTTTCTGCACTACACTAACTGGAGCCACAGCAGCACTGGAGACTGAGGCCAGGAGAGGGTATGGTTACCTTTGGCACCCAAGAATTTAGTGCCACGCTGGTGCCCCACAGGTTTTCCAGTGTAACACAGGGAGATGTTAGTAGCACATTACAGCTATTTTCACTTAGCTGTTAGGTGATATTCATACTGTGTCATCACTGTTACTTCCTCCACATGGATGAGTTACAGAGTGCTGCGGCACAGTGGCCAAAATGACAGCACATATGCAGGAAGTGACAGCTGCGCTAGCCTCTGAAGTGTAATAATATATGAGGAAATAGCCTAGCAGAGGGTTGCACTTGTGGTCAAATTTATTCCACCGTAAATTATTATCAAGTAGAGCTGTTCAAGACCCTCCCCCACTGCTGCCTTTCCTGGATGTAAGTAAGCTGACGCTAGAATTGCAAGATGCTGATTAAAAGTTTTTTCTGACCTCCCCCAACATACCTGACACGCTGATAGTCGCTGCTGCTTTTGCAGTGCCAAATGCTTTGCTGTGCTTGTTAGTGGCTATGCAAGTGAACAGGCCCGGCCTGGTGACATACACTTGCAGTCTGGAGTCGATTGCTCTGTCTTTTACACTTTCAACTATTGACCCTGCAGAAACCTAAAAGGTTTATTAAAACAAATAAAACAGTGAAGTGTTGGGGGTTTAAAATAAATTTTAATTTTACAAAGTAAGATGGAGCAAATGGATTAAAGTGGAAGTGACTTAAAAATGGGATAGCCAGAAACAGGAGCTACAGTGTAATGACGCTTTCATATCAACTGGTTTTACAGACAAATGTGAACTTTAATAACCCAGCCTGTCAAACTCCTAGTGATTTAAGATATCTTTAGCAGGCTTCACTTTCAGCTGGAGGTGCTTGATACTTTCTAAAAAGGAGGCCCCATGTGTTAATGTAGATAGCACTACCGAGCCAACACAGGCGAAAGGGTTTTCTGTTTCACACATCTTCAGTAACTATTGATTAAGCTGCAGTTTCAAAGAGCTGTATTTGTATCTCAGCTGGTGTAACTGAGTTTAAAATATAGTTAAGGTTCATTCTCTGTTGGTGGTAATGCTGAAGTCTGAAAGAATAGATATTCTGACTTTGATATTCTGGGGCTGATTGTTGCAGAGGGAGGGGAGGTCATTGTGGAATTCACTGAGTCCCAATAAATATGGCATATCCATTTTTACAGCATCACTTTTCAAGATAGCACCATGTTATTAAGGCAACATTCAAGAGATCAAACATGCTGGCTCCCATATTCTAAAGGGCTCGTGCATTTTCCTACTTTGTGTTCCAAGAACTATGCAAGTCGGTTAAGATTTGGCAAGACTGTTTTGTTTGCACATTTCAGAAATCTATGAGCAAGTGAGCAAGGAGCCATGTAACCTTACCAGTCTGTGGTAATTTTATCCTCAGTCTCTTCCTGCTTGTAAACTGCATTGGCATTCATTGAAATAATATTATCTTAATGCAGTATTGCTTCTGAAGCATTGCTACAAAAGGAGTAAAATGGCCATGATAGCAGCCAAATATAAAAAATAAAAGAAGTGCAAGGCACTTGCTTTCAGACCCAAATAATACTACCTGAAAATGGAGATCTGGTCTCAGTTCAGTAAGATAGTTAAGGATGTGGCTAACTTTGAACACAGCAATTGTCTCATTAAAGTCAACAGAGTTCCCATGCTGAAAGTCAAGCACGTGCTCAGTCAGGATCTTTCTCTGCTGTTTGTCAAAAATAGATAAGTAGGGTAATGTGTATTATAGATTTAATTCCACTGCCTCTTCAGTTAATAAAAGCAATGGTACCAATCACTCCTAAATAGTTCAAAACCCTACAACATTTTCAGTTAACTATGTTTAAAATCCTCCTTCAACTAAAATGTATCAACATCTTACCCAAAGTGAATTCATACATTCTTGAAAAACTCTTGCACAAGCGTATTTATATAAGAAACACTTTCCACCAAAATGCAGCCAAGCTATCCTAGGGGTGAAATATAATGATTGTTAAATCACTGCACAGATGACTGATAAAGCAGTTTAGGTCAGGAAGTAAGGAATGCAACTTTAAATTGAAGCTTAAAATTTACAACCTACCGAGGGTAGCAAGTACTATGCAGTAGAATATATATTAGTAACTGATGGCTCTCAAAAGGTTGATACTTTGATGTGTATTCAGAACAAATTTATTCTCACTGAACCTCTTAAATTTGCTAAATGATGATCTGGCAGGTACTGAGCACCCTGAACTGTTTTATTTAACTCTTGAAAATGTCATTTTCCAGTCAGGATAGGAAAGGTATGAGTGAAATCCTGGTCCCACTGAAGTTAGTTGTTTTGTTATTGGCTTCAGTGGGGTCAGGATTTCACCTGTTCTTGTCTTACACTTGTGCTTCTGTTCTTGGTCTGAAAATTAAACAGATCATAGAATCATAGAGAAGCAGGGCTGGAAGGCACCTCCAGAGGTCATCTAGTCCAACCCCTTGCCTGAGGCATGATAATCCCTATGTAAACCATCCCATATAAACCATCATTTAAATTCTATGTAAGACGCAATACTGACCTAACACCCTAACCTGTCCCAGTTAATGCAGGAGAACCATGGTAGCCAATGTCCTGAGTCTATGAAATGTTGTCAATATATGCTCAAGAGATCCTGGGTAGAGGGCCACATCTCTGCTACAGAGGAAGGCAAAAACCCCAACAGCCTATATCAATCTGACCATGGGGTACAATTCCTTCCTGACTCCAAATATGGTGATTGGTCTGACCCTGAGTGGAGGGGCAAGACCCTCTAGCCAAGAACCTCCAGCATTGGTCCCAGCAGGAGCACTGGCACAACTGCAAAGCCCCCAGCCTTGACTGTAGCCAACACCTAATGCTTCTGAGATCTTTAAAGGCTGAGGGTTTGGGCTCAGTAGGCATACTGGGGGAAGGTTCAATTCATTATGTTATCAGACCCTGTTCAAGCTTCTTTAAACTATGCATGTCTGAGATCTGCATGTCTGCATTAGGCCATCATAATGTCCCTTCTTTCAGCTAACATTTTGAACAAGTGTATTCTCTGGACATTTGGTGATACTCCAGTGACACAAAGCAACCATAGACCCATCTGAAGTGGCTGGTTAAAACAGGTGTATGACTCATCAATATGGCTGGTGCATCTGGGCCTTAATATTGTCCACCATATTATTTTAAAATAAAGTAAAAATGAACCAAACTTAATTTGACATTCATTGTTACATTGTTTCAAGACATGCAGTGCCTATCTCTTTTCTGGAAGTGTTGACTAAGGATGAATGGCTCTTAGTTTCTGGTCAAATAAATACGTGCACAAGGAACCACTCTAAGAAGAGACCGATAACAAGAAGCAGCAAGGAGGAACTCTCCAAGACTGGAATCAGACTGAAAGGAGAGAACTAGGTTCATGTGGAAAAGTTGTGCTATATTTGAAGTAGCTACTGCCAATGGCAGGAATCCTTTTCAGCATCAGTTATAGGCAGCTCAATGTCAGGTAGGTTTCTATTAGCAGGAATCAATTCTGGTTCAAAGGGTGTTATAATGCCCAGAGGTAGTTTCGATCAATTATTTCTTTTAGGAAACGTCTGGAAGCAGTTTTATAAAAACATTTAGATCCCACAGTCACCCAAGCCTATTGAAATTTAGTTCTGTTACAAATTACCCAGTTTAGCTGGAAACTGTACCCAGCTCTGAAGCCATCCAACAGCAAGAAGAAGAGTGCATACTGCTATCATCAGTTATTATCTGTACTGCCTAGAAAACTTTCATGGATCAAGAACTCACTGAGCTAGAAGATGCACAACTATGGGACCAGAAAGCATCCCAGCATCTACATTTACAAGGTAACTTCGCTTGGAAGAGAGTGCACTGGGTTTTGAATTTTCTCTCCTCTTCCACACCCGCACCCCACTTCTATGTTTGTTCGTTGTTAAACAATTGATCAATGGATTTTTCTTCCAGATGCCATTTCTCTGGATGAAACATTGTAATCATTCTCACTGGTACAGAGAAGGAATTTTCTCTGGGGCTAAACCAAAGCCTCCTACTGGAGTTCATCCAGATTTTGTAACATTAGGGCTGACTCGGCTTTAATAAGTTGCTTCCTTGGAAGCCTTCTTTTGCATTTCATACTCCATCATTCTGTTCATAATCCGTAAGTGTAGAGCACAAAAGTCAGTTGAGTTTTGTCAGTGTCTTGTGACCTGAAATATGTTCCTGTCTCTCCTCCTGTAGCCTTATTTTCTCTTCTGTTCAATCAGAGCTAAGGAGTCTCATTCAAGCCTGGGATCTTCTGTGGAATTTTACTCGGGCTGATTGCCCTCAGAAAGGAAATCTGAGAATGGTGAGTCACGATTGTGCCTTCTTAGTCTGGATCACACAATGAAAAATGGCTTAGCCTGCCACGTCAAGTTGATAGAACTTGCAGGGACAGGGGAATGTGCTACAGCTGAAAATAATTCAATGGCTAGTTTGAACTCAAGGCCTCTTTTTGTGAAAATGATCTCTTGCTGGCTTGGATAGTTTCAAACAGTATGAGCATTACATACTGTCATTTGCATGATGAAAAATAACAGAAAATAGCATGAGGAAGCCTTATGCAGCTCTTAAAAATGGCAAATACCCATATTTTAGATCTTCCAAGCTGGCTGTCAGTTTTTCTTCTGGGAACCTGAGACTCTCTTCATTAAATTTGATTCTTTTTACTTTTGAAATAAAGTCCTAAGGACCTTTTTCCAGTAGGGTGTTTTGACCATTAAAGTCCCATTCCAGAATGTAGCAAAGGTGACACATCTCCATATCTTTACATTTAACTTAATTATCCTTGCAGGAAAACAGAGGGCTATCACCTGAGCCCATGATGCCTGGAAGTGGCTAATGAGTAGAAACTGAATTGGAGCAGTATTTTTATTTGGATGGAGAGGACAACTACTGTTTAAATGAACTTTCATCTTTCTGTTCCAGGGCAGTTTAGGAATGACAGTGCTTTCATTCTCCTTAAACTTCAGAACAATTACATGTCAGCATTCAGAAACTCTAGCAACACAGTCACTGCAGGGAGGACATCCTCAAATTACTCACTGTTGCTTGTTTGTGAGTCAGTCTTTAAATACATATGCTTGATTCCACCTGTTTCCTGGTTTAACTTTAGCAAAGGCAGGCACTCATTAAACAAAGGTCTCCTTACCATATTTAAAACTATGTGGTCTGGAAGGCAATCCTCATAGGACTGATTTTTGCCTTGCAGACATAGATACCACAGGCAGATCTGAGCTAGAGTCCCAGAAAAACAATGTCAATTAAAAGAAAAAATTTAAAATCTGAAGATCCACCCTTGGGTGGTTGGGAGGGAAACCAAGTGTACTGGTGACACATGTTCCTCTGATGAACTGGCATAAGTTTTGTACTGATTGGATATGTACAGAATGGCTAAGTACAGACAATCAAAAAGCCTGAGTCTGAATTCATTCAACCTTCACAGGTTAGTTTAAGCTGCACAGATTGGACTGATAAGCAAGTGAGTACACATTCACTTTTGATTCTGGAAATGCAGCCACATGCCTGCAGTGGCCCAGGCCAGAAGCTGTGGAGCACAAGATTATGCCTGCCTGCTTGGCTGGAGCAGACAGCTTGGGTCAAGGCTAGCCCACCCATCCTGGGATACTGTGGGATAATGAGTTAACTTGAATCTGGAGAGGATCTGGGACAGAAGTTCAATTAAGTCTGATAGTACATCCATCCAGGTTTATCTTAAACTGGTTTTGGCCACTTTGAAAGTGGTTTATGTGCACTGAACTTCTGTTGTGTTACAGATTTGAACCAGCTTCTGATCACTTATAGTAGTTTGTGTGTAATTTCTCTCCCTGGCCAATAAGTTCTGTACAAGTCATTTGGATCTAGGATCTGGATTCCCAAATGAAAAGAATGTCTAATATGCTGTTTGACCACTTGTATTCAGGAACTTGTGCACATGCGGTCCTGAGAAAATAGCCACATGACAGAGGTCAGCAACCTCCAGTATGCACGCCAGAACATGGCACAGGAGGCCATTTTGCTCAGCGTGCTACAGCTCACTTGGGGTCTGCACAGCTTCCACCAGCCATGAAGCCCAGGCTGATCGCAGCAGTTGGTGGGGAGGCTGCAAGCCCTGCTACAAGCATCCTGGGCTCCATGGCAGGCAGCAGCTGTCCAGAGTACAGGCTGGATGTGGCAGGCAGCCAGGAGGTTGCAGTCAGTGCACTGGGCTTTGGAGCCCTACCCAACTCCATGACCAGTGGCTGCTGCACGCTCACTTCAGGGTACATGCCGAGGAAGGAGCCAAGTAGTGGCATTTGTGCGGGCAGGTGGGCAGTATGGAGCTGGAGGAGCTGGGCATCCACACTGAGTCTGGTGTGTTTGGCTGCATTGCCTTGGGCACGTGGCCCACAGAGCTGGACATGCCACATGTCATCATACTGAGGCTGCTGGGGCTGCAGTGCAGGTAAGCGGGCAGGGCAGGGCGGGAGTGGTGCTACAGCTGTAGCAGCCTGGGATCCCCTCCATGGGAGGCAGAGGCAGCTGCAGGCACTGCCTCCTGCAAGCTGCAGCCCCGGCAGAGGGACCAGCCACCCTCAACAGCCCAGCTGGGCAGGCTTCGTGTGTGCTGTCTCTGTGCTTTGAGGCTTGTCCTTGCCACATGTGCATCCTGGGAGGTGCACCCGGGTCAGGGCAGTGGTGCTATGGAACATCAAGCCACAGGGGGCAAGGGTGGGGTGGGCAGAAGCTCCAAGTCGGTTGAGGTTGGTTGGCTGCCCCACGCTTCTTCCCTGCTGTGTGCCGCGAGGCACATGTGCAGGTGCCATCACCACAGAGTCCAGGCTGCTCGCAACAGGCAGTGGGCAGTCTGCAAACAGCTGCACCAGGGTCCGGAGCCCTAGCCCAGTTCCACTGCCAGCATTGACTGAACATGTGCCTCAGGGTGCACAGTGGGGAAGGGGCTAGGGGCAGTACAGCCCTGGCTCCTTTCCCATCATGCTCCCCAAGGCATGCATGCAGCCGCTGCTGGCAGTGAGCTGGGCTGGGGTTCCAGAGCCTGGTGCAAGCTCTGGCAGGCTCACGGCTACGTGCTGTGAGCAGCCCATGCTCCGTGGTGGGTGGCAGGGGCTTGCTCAGAGCCTGGGCTGCTTGCAGCAGGCAGCCACAAGGCTGCAAGCAGTTGCACCTGAGTCCAGAGTCCCTGCCTGGCTCATTGCTGGCAGTGGCTACACGCATGCCTTGGGGAGCACAGCGGAAAAGGGGCAAGGATTGGGCCCCTTGCGGCTCCTCCACCATCTGCACCTGGCACGCCAACATCTTCAAAGTCCAGGATGAAGGGGTTTTTGGCACTTGGCCCAAAAACGTTGCCAACATACGACATACTACCAACTTCTTTCCCATTGGCAACCAACTTACAAAGCCTTTACCTCTGTTACCACTTCCCCAGAAGAACAGGAATGCTACCAAACCTTGTAGTCAGTTACAGGGTGCTCATCACCAACAACCAGAAAGATGTACTTTCCCCCTGCCAAACAGTATTAAACCTAGCTATAAAAAACAGTTGTGCAATATTGTCCAAAACTTTAATGCAGACAGAGGGTGACTTTA